TCAATAAATATTCAGCTTTTAAAAAAGTAGAGTCCTGCTCAAGATCACAGGGGAAAGGGGATGGCAAAACAGGTCAGGGTCTTTGTGGTAATAATAAAAAGAAGAAAAGCAGAAACCAACCACTCCTCTAGTCATGAGCATGTAGATAGATGATACCACAGCCTTTGAAATATGTCGATCAAGCAATGTCAAGGGCACAGTCAGCATTTAAACGCAGCTCTGTGTCTTGGTCTTAGAGCCTAAAGGAATGGCACCCTCCAGCCTAAACCCACAGGGACACTCTTGGCATTTGGGGTGCAACAGTTCTTTGTGACTCAAGCTCCCTTGGCCCCTAACCACTAAATGCCCTTAGCAACCCCAAATTATGGTGTCAACCCCAAATGTCCCACCTCCCCACACGTTTCCAAGTGGCCTCAGGATTGGTGCTGGACCTGGAGGTACTGGCTGCCATTTTACCCTTCTCCCGTGGGACCCAGCCTGTCTCAAAGCAGAGAAAGTGGGCCAGCTACACTTCTCCCTTCCTAGGGATGGCTAGTTGCATCTGGGGTGCAGAGCATGGGCTGCCAGCCTGGGAGGCCAGCCAAGTTGTCCAGCCCTGGCCCATCTCCATCCCCCACCAGCGGGCCGGGCCTCCCTCCGCTCTCATACTGTACGAGGCTTACTCCACAGGCCTCTTGCTCCTTCCTTCCCCAGCAGGGCCCACCGTCCGATGCTCATCAAACATGCAGAACTGATGTTGCACAAGCCCCCCCGAGGGGACTAACATCATACCCCTGATTTCTCCTTCCCCTCTCGCGCTGTGCATCCCCCTGGCTGCAGCCTGCCTTTGTTTCAGGAGGAGCAAAACACTGTGTCTGAAAACGTTACTGCAATTAAATATGCACAAGAAGGGGGGAGGGAGGGGAAAATGAGGACAATGAAGGATGTGAAACATCAGATGCAGCAGCTGCTTGTTGCTATAGAAACCCTAGCTCCCCACCACCATCAAGGCAGCATCAGCCCCCCACCCTCCACCCCCCACCCCTGGTTTAAAATCCTCGTAGGGCCAAGTGCTCTGTTTGTCCTGAGGTGCTGGGTGATGCAAGATCACAGGGTCCTAGCTATCCAGGGCTGGAGCACCTGTCGGCTGTGAGCATTGATTTCTGTGTCTTTCCTGCTTTTCCTCACCCCACCATCACTACCTCCTGACACTGGTACTTCTGATTGGCAGCAACACCCTCCAGTAGTTCTGCATTCCAGTCCCAGTTACATAATAAATTACAGAAGAGCTTCTGCGTTTGACTTTGGGATGTCACAACATGGAGACAAAACGGCACATGCAGAGTCCATTGGGGAGCCGGCTTTCTCTGTGCTTCCTCGGTTCCTCTCTGACAGCCAGCTGCAGGGCTTGGCGCCCTCCACCATCCTTCTTGTCCCCACCCACAGCCCTGAGTGGGGGTCTGCCTAGTTGCGGGGTCTGCCCAGCTGTGATCTGTGTGCTGGAGCCAGGCAGAGCGGGGTGTCCACAAACTCCAGGTTCCAGAAGATGGGCAGGCTGCCAGATGGCCAAGTGCTCATCTGGGAGGATCCCCAACAAGATGTAGCTCAACCGGGATCAATGGGAAGTTCCAGACTCTGGCCCACATAACCACTGTCCAAGGACAGAGAGAGAGAAAGTGGCATGGCAGCGGCTCCCAGAGACAGGGCCAGGGTCTTTAGTTGACTGCAAGAAGAGTAGTATAACAGGGCTGCCTCCCTCCTCCCACACCATCCCCATGACAAGGTGATGCAGCCTGAGGCTGGGTGTTGGTAGTCTTGCTCTACTCTGCTCTGATGGGCTAAGTCTAATCTTAGAGCCTCACAAAGTGGGGCACAGTGTCTGGCACATGGTAGGTCCAGTCCTATACAAAGATGTGCAGGAGGGAGGAAAGAAAGGAGGGAGGGGCAATTGGAATTGTAGATAAACCAAAGTTCATTCAGAAGCAAGAGACCAAACTGATGAAGTTATCTGAAACTATATTAAATAAATATTAAAAAATAAAATCCCTGTCATCCCAGCACTTTGGAGGGCCAAGGCAGAAGGATCCCTTGCATCCAGGAGTTTGAGACCAGCCTGGGCAACATAGCGAGACCTCATCTCTACCAGAAAATTTTTTTAATTAGCCAGGTGTGGTGGTGCATGCCTGTGGTCCCAGCTACTGGGGAGGCTGAGGTGGGAGGATCACTTGAGCCCAGCATGCCAAGGCTGCAATGAGTTGTGATCATACCACTGCACTCAGTCCGGGTGACAGAGTGGCAGTCTGTCTCAAAAAATACATAAAATGAAAATAAAATCCTAAGGCTGTTAACCCTGAAGAAAATTCAAAGGGCGTCACAGCCACCTTCCAGTGTGTGAGGGAGTATGTCAGGAACACGGGTTTTGGCTGGTTCAGCAGGGCACCAGTGAGTCAGAGCAGGACCCATGGTGGAAGTGCCAAGAAGATCAGTGGTCACCAAGGAAGACTGATCTACAAGTCAACTTTGGGGCTGGGCGCGGTGGCTCACGCCTGTAATCCCAGCACTTGGGAGGCCGAGGCGGGCGGATCACGAGGTCAGGAGATCGAGACCATCCTGACTAACACGTTGAAACCCCATCTCCACTAAAAATACAAAAAAAAATTAGCCGGGTGTGGTGGCCGGTGCCTGTAGTCCCAGCTACTCAGAAGGCTGAGGCAGGAGAATGGCGTGAACCCGGGAGGCGGAGCTTGCAGTGAGCTGAGATCCCGCCACTGCACTCCAGCCCGGGCGACAGAGCAAGACTCCGTCTCAAAAAAAAAAAAAAAAAGTCAACTTTGGAATGGGCTGCTGAGTGAGGGAGGGCCCCCAGCCCCGGATATATTCAAATGAAGGCTGGAGAACCTTTGTCAAAGATATCGTGGCGCGCACTCAGCTTTTCAGCCCTGCAGTTCTACAGCCTCCAGCGGCAGAAGATGCCCTTTGGTGAGGCCCCCACCTCCGGATGCTGAGAGTCTTGGACTCGTGCTTGGGATGGTGGAGGGAGATGGGTGGGATACCACAGAACATTCCTCACAGGAGCCTTCGAAGCTCTCATCTTGGCTGAGGGGATGTCACTTAGGCCTCAGGTAGGAGGAAGCAGACCTCTAAATAATAGGGCTAGAAGGGCATGGAATTGCCCAAAATGTTTCCCTCTGCCAGCCTGACATGTGGTGCTATCGGGTTCTTCCCGTGGGTTCAGCACGACCCTCTCCCCTGCGGCTTTGAAGTCACTATCACTATCCTGATTCCAAGACCCCTCCCAGTGGAAATGGCAGCCTGGACCCTTGAGGCCTGCCTGGGAAACCCCCAAAGAGGAGGCAGAGGACCCCAGAGTTCGCCTCTCCATCTGTTTCTGAGATGGAGTCTCGCTCTGTCGCCCAGGCTGGAGTGCAGTGGCCGGATCTCAGCTCATGGCAAGCTCCGCCTCCCGGGTTCACGCCATTCTCCTGCCTCAGCCTCCTGAGTAGCTGGGACTACAGGTGCCCATCACCTCGCCCAGCTAGTTTTTTGTATTTTTAGTAGAGACGGGGTTTCACCGTGTTAGCCAGGATGGTCTTGATGTCCTGATCTCATGATACGCCTGCCTCGGCCTCCCAAAGTGCTGGGATTATAGGCGTGAGCCACCGCGTCCGGCCTCGCCTCTCCATCTTAGTCTGGCCTCAGTGGGAGGACACATCCATGAGCTTAGGGAGTCTAGTGCAAACCCCTTCCCAACCCTCAAGTCCAGTTTTCTCCTTTAAATCAGCCTTTATCGGCTCAAGGTGAGGGTGAGCCCTAGGACCTTAGACAAGGAAATCCACTTCCCCTCTGGGATGGGAAGGGGGGCTCTTGTGTCGCAATCTGCAACGTGGGTAGGCTGCCCCCTGTGCTTCCTGCTCCCCTGCCAGGTCCCAACAGTCGGGGCAGAGATGGCTGTGGCAGTGGCAGGAGGCATCGAGTACAGTGCCTGTTTGCTTCACGGCCTTGTGCACAGTGCGTGTTTGAGAACTGTTTGAGTGATTACCGTGTATCTGCCCCTCCTTGTCCCCATGCTAGTATAACTTTGCCTCAATAATCGTTTGTTGAGTGAATAAATGATTTAAATTGAGAGAAGGGGATGGAGGCTTATGTGTAATTCCATACAGAGGGACAACTGGGAGTCAGAAGTTCCAGTCCACTTCCTGGCTGTGTGACCTGGGCCAGTTACTTTACTACAAGCCTCAGTTTCCTTCTTTGTAAAATGGAGCTAGCATCTCAAACAGTTGTAAAAGCCAACAAGCAAGGAATATGAGTTTTGCAAAGTCTTGCAAAGAGGTAGGAAAGATGAGAACTAATATTCACTTAGTGCTTATTCTGCACCAAACGCTTTATTCTTCTTTTTATTTTTACTTTTTTAGAGACAAGAGTCTCACTCTGTCACCCAGGCTGGAGTACGGTGGCATGATCACGGCTCACTGCAGCCTTGACCTCCTGGGCTCAGGCAGTCCTCCTGCCTCAGCCTCCCGGGTATCTGGGACTACAGGCATGCCCTACCAAACCCAGCTAATCGTTTAATTTTTTTCTTTTTTTATAGACAGGGTCTCGCTATATTGCCCAGGCTAGTCTCCAACTCCTGGTCTCAAGTGATCCTCCTGCCTGAGCCTCCCAAAGCATTGGGATTACAGGTGCGAGCCACCACACCTGGCCCCATTCCTTAAATCTGTACACCCACCCCATTATTTGTACTCCATTGTATAGATAAGGCTCAGAGAGGTTAAGTAACTTTCCCAAGGTCACACAGCCCATAAGTAGAAGAGCTGGATCGGGACCCAGATCTCAGCCTAACTCTAAAGCCCAGCTTCTTTCTGTTAAACCCTGGAGCATCTACACTGAAAGGAACAATTACTATCGTTTCTATTTGTCATTTTGTTTGTGTGTGAAAATCCTCCTCTGTCAGAGACGCTACCCTGCCTCTGAGGCTGTACCAAACCGGGAAGTAACGAACTATGTCCTGATTGTGTCTCCAGAAAACAGGTTTTTTATTACCTACCATGGCGGGCTGTACATCTCTGACGTACAGAAGGAGGACGCCCTCTCTACCTATCGCTGCATCACCAAGCACAAGTACAGCGGGGAGACCCGGCAGAGCAATGGGGCACGTCTCTCCGTGACAGGTAGGGGAGAGAGCCGGGGGAGAACGTGGCGGGCTGGGAAGGGAGGACACCAGGCCATCCCTGGAACTTGGTGTGTCCCACCACAGATGGAGGAGCCCCCTGTGTACTCAGGGAAATCCGAGGAAGAGATTAAAGAAATCAGGTACTGAAACCACCAAGGAAGACCTCTTTGCTATGTTTGCATTTTCAAATAATGAGGGCTACGAAACTCACCCTCTTTTTCCTTTTTTTTTTTTTTTTTTTTGCCTTTCCTGTCAGGAAGCTCATAGATAAAATCGGATACTCAAACATAGTAACTATTAGTGTTGCTTTTCAGGGGGGCGGGGAGGGGGCGTTGCATATCCGTGCCTCTAGGTGCTTTTGAGGGTTCTATCTTTTCGTTCTTTTTTTTTTTTTTTTTTGAGACAGTGTTTCTGTCTTGTTGCTGAGGCTGGAGTGCAATGGCGTGATCTTGGCTAACTGGAACTTCTGCCTCCTGCAACTTCCACCTCCTGCAACTTCTGCCTTCTGGGTTCAAGCAATTCTCCTGCCTCAACCTCCTGAGTAGCTGGGATTACAGGCGTGTGCCACGACCCCCGGCTAATTTTTTGTGTTAGTAGAGACAGGGTTTCACCATGTTGGCTAGGCTAGTCTTGAACTCCTGACCTCAGGTGAGCTGCCCGCCTCGGCCTCCCAAAGTGCTGGGATTACAGGTGTGAGCCACCGCGCCTAGCCGGAGAATTCTATCTGATCAATGAGTACACATGTATGTTTCGTCATAGGCCACCTCGCAACATTTGAAAGCAGGCAGAACATAATTTATAAACAAAATATTTCTAAACGGAATAAAGGATTCTTGTTCTGGGGTGATTATAGCTTCTCGGGAGGGATAGAAGCTGGTGTTTATTGAATCCTCCTGTGTATCTGGGATTCCCTCATTTGTTTCTGTCAGGCACCGTCATAGCCCTGTGAGGTGAGTGCTATTCCCCCTATTTTTACAGACGAGAAAACCAAATCTTAGGGAAGCCAAGTGACTAGCCAGAGCTATTTAACCAGTGGGAGGCACAGCCGGAATTCAGACTCTGAACCCCTGGCCTCAGGGTCCTACAGGACCCCGTAGAAGGGGTCAGCTGAATGCCCATATCCATGCTGAGGTCACAGAGAGGCGCTCCTCGAGGAAGGCTTTCTGAACAGTAGTTTCCAAACCCTTTGACTGCAATGCCCAGACAGACGTTCTTAGCATGGCCTGCGCAATACACGCTGGCATTTTCTACCATGCTTGTTGCAAGGCGCCTGAAATTTTCTATTCTATTCTATCTAATTCTGATTTCTCTAAATGCCAGCCACAACTCACCAAAGGGATTTCACAACCTCCTAACAGTTTGTGGGTTGTGAGTTGAAAAATCTCTGTCTTGAGATTGGAGTTTTTGAAAAGGGGATGAACACTAAGTCACAATACCTGGCTTTTGGGATTAAACTCATGAAATCTCGCAGCCTCTCTAGGCCTCTGGAAAAGGAACCCGTCTAGGTGGCTGCTCTGATTCTATCTGCCTCTGGCCCTCAGAGCTCTCAGAGCTCTGCCCTGAGTTTGGTGGTTTGGTGATGAGCTCTGCCCTGACCCACAGATGACTGTCTCCAGGACCCCTTCCACATATCTGTCACATGTGGGGCAAGGCCAGGAGATCAGGAGCTGGGAGGGCAACAACCTGGCTCCCGATTCACCCCTGTGTCTTTAGCGCCTGGCCCTGTGCCTAACATACGGTAGGTGCCAAGTAAATATTTATGGCATTAATCAATGCCAAGGGAAACCATGCTGTCATAAGGGTAGGGGACGGGGCTGCTCCGTGCGGCCCCATCTTTGTGGCTTGACTTTGGAATCCACAGCCCAGTTTCCAAAGGGCTCGCCTCAAAATAACAGGGACTTGTTTGTATGGTGTTTTGCATCTCATTTGCATGCCTATCCCGCAATGTGGGAAAGACACAGAAATCCCCTTCCTTCAGGCCTGCTCCCTTGTCCTCCTCGAATATTTGGCCCCGTCATCCTCCAGTCTCCTGGCTGGAGCTCTAGCTTGTGGGGGCGCTAGGCAGGAATTCCTCAAAAAGAGACATGCTTTGAACCGGAGGCCATGCCAGCCCTTCTTCCCCTCCTCTTCACCACCAGCTTCCGGGAGACGGGCGAGGGGGAGGAGACTCACAGATAAAGCCCGAACAGAAAAGCGGGCATGAAGATGGGACGGTACCCAGACAGACAAGAGAGAGGCCCTGGCACAAACAGAGATTGGCATGGGGCAGGGGAAAGGCAGAACGGAGAGACGTGCACAGAGACAAAGGACGCGAGCGAGGGGGCTCCAGGGAGGGAGCCCATGCAGTGACACGGGGCCCTGATGTGATGGGATGTGACAAGGCGATCTGCAAGCTGCTTGTCTCGGCAAAAATGCAACTGATACTGGAGCAAGCAATGCCTAGGGGGTTGGCATTGGGAAGCCCAGAGCCTGCCTCGGGCTCACCCGCCCCTCCCCACTGCACTTGGAATCCACTCCCCAGAGCTGAGGGTGGAGATCCGGCCCCAGAGAGAGGCAGGGCACGAGTGTCTGCTGAGACGTTTCAGTCTCTAGAGGCCAAGGCCCCGAGAGCTCCTGGGGCTTGTTGCGGGTGAGAATGGTACACATGGCAGTGCATTGGAGGTGGTCAGTTCATGAGAACAGGAACCACATGTGTGGTCTCTTCAGTACTCAGTGCTAAAGTTGCTGGGGGTGGGGAGAGCTAACGAGGTGTATTGTTAAGACAGCAGTTACGAATTAGGCCAGACTTTCCATCTCCGCCTCAACACTCACTAGTTGTGCAGCCTGGCATAAAATAACGTTCCAAACCTCAGCTGCCTGATCCGGAAAACGGGAGTAACAAAATGTACTCCTACTGGGTTGCTGTGAGAATGAAACAAAATATCTCCTATTAAGAAAGGCCAGGCGTGGTGATTCAGGCCTGTAATCCTAGCACTTCGGGAAGCCAAAGCAGGTGGCTCACTTGAGGACAGGAGTTCAAGACCAGCCTGGCCAACATGGCAAAACCCCATCTTTACTAAAAATACAAACATTAGCCGAGTGTGATGGCACCCCAGCTGCTCGGGAGGTGGAGGCAGAGAATCGCTTGAACCAGGGAGGCAGAGGTTGCAGTGAACCAAGATCATGAGATCGTGCCACTGCACTCCAGCCTGGGTGACAGTGGATTATTCAATAATGAATAATTATTTAATAAATAATTATTAATTAATTAATACTGCTTATAAAAAGTTTAGCTAGTGCCTGACACAGGAAGCTGAGGACAGACAGTAGCTGCTACTATTATTGTCAGTGGCTGTTCTGTTGTTGCTATATTGTTATTCCCACTACCTTCCCAAGGCATAGGGGTGGGGAAGAAGGGCAACTTTCATTTTTCTATATTTTCCAAGTTGCAGAGGCAGTTGCAAGAATAGTCTGTGCCTCCACAAAATACAACCTAATCATAATCATTCCATACATCTAGGTGCTTTTTTTAGAGCTTACCAAGTGCTTTCAGGTATATTAACTCACTTCGTCCCCACAACAACCCAGTGGGATGGGCATTGTCACCTGCAGTTATAAAGGAGGAAACCAGCAGTCAGAGAGGCTGAGGAACTGGAATCAGATCCCCCAGCTCACAAAGGACAGAGCCAGGTGCAGAAGCCATGCTCCTGGCGGTGCCTTCACCACCTAACCATAGCAGTGCCGTTCAGCTGGCCGTAGGGGGTTCCCAGCAGCCGCCCCAGGGCGTCTCAGACCCCCAGTCAGCCCAGCCTAGCTCCAGTGCACCCCCAGCAGTTTCTCAGGCCTGACCATCTGTCTCCCCCAGCCCTGCCTCAGTGCTAGCAGCGCTCGGTCCCCCCGGGCTGTCGCCGTGTACACGCCGCAGCATTTTACTTCTGCTCTGGAGTAATGAAAGAGGTTTCTTTCCCTCAGAATTTAATTTCACGCCTGAGCCTCGGTGATTAATTCCCTCCCCCCGCCCCTTCCTCCACCACCCTGATGGCCCCTCCGCTTGTAAATTCTGCGGTGTGCCGCGGAATTTGTGTATTTTGCATCAATTAAGTGTCACATTGAGTAATTCTTCCCTGGCACCGGGTTTGTTTATCCTAGCCATTCCCACCAGGTTGGGGGTGGGAGAAGAGGCCACAGAATCTGGCAGGCAGGGCGCGTGGGCTCTAGATAGTAATCGTCCCGCGCATCTGCAGGCGGATTGAGCATCTAAGGCACTTCCACACACCTATGCCACTGGTTGCCTGCAACGGCCTTGTGAGGTCTGGAGGCAATGTTATCACGTCTAGCAGGGCAGGTGGGGAAACTCGGGCTCTAGGAGATCACAAAACTTGCCCAAGGTCACAGGGCTTCTCAGTGACCCAGGCACTGGGTCAGAGAGAGCCTCTGGAGAGCCTGATTCCCAGCCTGGGCTCCTTCTGTAGCCCGCAGGCAGCCCCTGACGAGCGCTGGAAGGTGGGAAGAGAACAGAGATCTTTCCCCTAGAGAGGAGAATTCTCACCCCAGCCCCTCTCCGGGGCAATTGCTGAGGGCAGAGGAAAGTGCCCGTTAGTGAAGGGACCACTATCCACTCTTAAGCAAAATTTAAGATTTTAGATTATTCCATCTTAGATACCATTTACTGAACAAGGCTTGGGGAGACCTGGCTTCTGATCTTTTTTTTTTTTTTTTTTTTTTTTTTTTTGAGATGGAGTCTCACTCTGTCGCCCAGGCTGGAATGCAGCGGCCAGACCTTGGCTCACTGCAAGCTCCGCCTCCCGGGTTTACGCCATTCTCCTGCCTCAGCCTCCGAGTAACTGGGACTACAGGTGCCCGCCACCTCGCCCGGCTAGTTTTTTTGTGTGTGTTTTTTAGTAGAGACGGGGTTTCACCGTGTTCGCCAGGATGGTCTCGATCTCCTGACCTCGTGATCCACCCGTCTCGGCCTCCCAAAGTGCTGGGATTACAGGCTTGAGCCACCGTGCCCGGCCCTGGCTTCTGATCTTAGTTCCATGGTGTGATCCCAGGCAGGGACATTTCTGGTCTCAGCATCCTCATCTCTTCATTCTTCAAGCTCCCTAAGCCAGCTCTGTAATTCCACAAGTCTATACAGTTCTGCAATGTGGATTTCTATCCAGAAAAATCAGACTACTGGCCTGCCCATGCCCGAGTTCCTCATTCATCCTCCCTAGACATTTGTGGTTCAGCAGCCTGGGGAGATACAGCAGTGGTTTCACACTGCCTTGAGGAGCTCACAGTCTTCCGGGTGCTGACTGCCCTTGGAAGGGGCAGTGCCGACGGGGGTTACCTCTGGAGAGCCACGTGGGGTGGCAGAGGGCAGGAGGGTGGGGAGATGGGGAGACTCCCTTTATGACATGCTCTTCTATATTTTCTGAAGTTTTACCAAGTGCATATATTATCTATTTTATCTGTTAAAACACTTTTAAGGCTTTTATTAGTATGAGTATTAGGATTATCATTATTTTTGAGACAAGATCTTGCTCTGTTGCCCAGGATGGGATACAGTAGCACAATCATAGCTCACTGCAGCCTCACATCTCTGGCTCAGTTGATCTCCCACCTCAGCCTCCTGTGTAGCCAGGACCACAGGCTTGTGCCACCACACCTGGCACTATAGTCGTGTGTGTGTGTGTGTGTGTGTGTGTGTGTGTATGTGTTTTGGCAGAGATGGGATCTCACTATGTTGCCCAGGCTGGTCTCCAACTCCTGGGTTCAAGTGATCTTCCCACCTTGGCCTCCCAAAGTGCTGGGATTACAGGCATGAGTTACTATGCCTGACCTATTAATAAAACATTTATTTTAAAATAAGGGGGAGTTCTGGGGCTGGGAGCGGTGGCTCATGCCTGTAATCTCAGCACTTTGGGAGGCCGAGGCAGGTGGTCAGGAGTTCAAGACCAGCCTGGCCAAGATGGTGAAACTTCATCTCTACTAAAATACAAAAATTAGCTGGGCATGGTGGCAGGCGCCTGTAATCCCAGTTACTCAGGAGGCTGAGGCAGAGAATTGCTTGAACCCGGGAAGCAGAGGTTGCAGTGAGCCAAGATCACACCACTGCACTCCAGCCTGGGCAACAGAGCGAGACTCTGTCTCAAAAAACAAATAAATAAAAATAAAAATAACGGAGAGTTCTTTGAAAATAAAATGAAAGGAAAAGAAAAATCTGTGGGAGTCATTGAGAGTGGTCTGGGGGAGGCATCCGGAAAAGATGACATTTAAGCTGGTTTGTGAAAGAGGAGTAGAAGCTGGCCAGGCAGAGCAGGCTGGCTGGACATCCAGGTGACCCAGATGACCCAGCACACCACTGCAGGGTTCCGTGGAGACAGGGGACAGTGTAGGCAGGCCAGGCCGACTCGTTGGCCCAGATCATAGAAGGCCTTGGCATTCAGGATAAGCAGTGGAGGTGTGTTGTGTAGGTGAGGGGGATCCTGGTGAGGTTTAGAGCGGGAGGAGGTCCCCCAGGAGCAGGAAACCCAGAGAGGCCTTGGAGGGTGGGAACGAGCCTGAGAGGGCTGACAGGACACCACTCAGAAATGCCCGGGCATTGCACACAGAATCCTGCCCGCAGGGGCTGTGGTTTTCTGCGGCTTCAGGTTGCAGGTCTCGTAGTTGCTGGTTTCTCTTGGTTTCGGAATGCAAAATATAGGATTGTCACGGGTGACTGCTGGGGCTTCTGAATCCTTTTAGGCTCTGGCAGAAATGAACTGGTCATTTCTGAGTCTTTCCAGAGTTCAGGCAGGAGAAGACAGAGCAGGAACAAATAGATCGTCCTCCCATCTCCCAGTAGGCCCAGAGAGATACTTACTATGAATTGCAAACTTGAGACATCATGACACATCACTGCTCTAGAGCCTGGGCTAGAATACAGGGACACAGCTGGGTGTGGTGGCTAAGGCCTGTAATCCCAGCATTTTGGGAGGCCAAGGCAGGCGGATCACCTGAGGTGAGGAGTTCGGGACCAGCCCGGCCAACATGGTGAAACCCTGTCTCTACTAAAAGTACAAAAAATAGTTGGGTGTGGTTGTGTGTGTCTGTAGGCCCAGCTACTTGGGAGGCTGGGGCTGGAGAATTGCTTGAACCTGGAAGGTGGAGGTTGCAGTGAGCCAAGATCACACCACTGCCCTCCAGCCTGGGCAACAGAGTGATTGAGACGCCATCTCAAAAATAAAAGAACCCAGGGACTCTCCGTGGGAAAGGAGTTCTCACGCACACCCTCTCCCTCCCTGCATGTCTTGCTCTCTTCCCCGCTTCTTCCATCTGTCTCTCTGTCTGTCACTCTAGTCCTGAACTCCATCATATTCTCGCCTCCTCCCAGCCCTTGCTGGGAATCCCAGTCAAGGTTGTCTGGGGCTCAGTCTGGCCTGAGCAGAGAAGACACAGTGCACCCTCCCTGAAACGTTCCTCTGGAGCCGCCCTGGAAACTCCTTGCTATGGGAGCCAGTGGGCAGCAGGCTCCTGTCTGGGTGCTTGCCTTCCGTCCCCCAGCCCTGCTTCATCCCACCCAGGGCTGGCCAGGGCTGCCGACCCTCTCTGCCTTCCAGACCCTGCCGAGTCGATCCCCACCATCCTGGATGGCTTCCACTCCCGGGAAGTGTGGGCCGGCCACACTGTGGAGCTGCCCTGCACCGCCTCGGGCTACCCTATCCCCGCCATCCGCTGGCTCAAAGATGGCCGGCCCCTCCCGGCTGACAGCCGCTGGACCAAGCGCATCACGGGGCTGACCATCAGCGACTTGCGGACCGAGGACAGCGGCACCTACATTTGTGAGGTCACCAACACCTTCGGTTCGGCAGAGGCCACAGGCATCCTCACGGTCATTGGTGAGTCGGGAAAGCCCCTTCTGCAGCCCCAGTAACCTCTGAGAGCACTGCAGGGGTCGGGGGAGGAGTGTGGACAGCTGGACCTGTCTCTGACCAGGCCCTGGGAATTACACTGGCTGACTGGGGAAGGCAGTCTGGTGTCCTGGAAAAGCCCTTGGTTTGAAATCAGGTGGCCTGCCTTTTGTTTCTGGCATTAGCCGATAGCAACTGACTTTGGGCAAACCACATAACCATGACCATCAGCTCAGTGCCCTTGTCTGTAAAATGGGAACGTGGTCCCAGCCTTCCTACCTCCCAGAGGTCGTGAGGCTCCAATGGGATGAGGAGGGTGATGGTGATGTGCTCACCATGAGGGCAGGGCTTCTGGGCTTGTAGGGAGGCAGTATCTGAACTAAGGGAAGCAAGGCAGCTGTCAATCCACTAGAGAGGACATACATCCCAATCCTAGGGTGACATTCAGGATGTTTAATAATCATTGATAGGGGCACTGATTAATCAGATCAGAAACTGGCCATAAACAAGCAAATCATCTCTGCCAGGACCTTCCAGCTGGATGTCAACCCTGGTCCCTTCCTACTCCTCCTCCTGCCCCTTCTGGGGTCCAAGACCTTAGCATACCCCTTCTGCTGAGGAGCCCCCAAGGTAGGCAGAGAGGGTAGAAGCAGATGGGCGAATGCCCTGGAAAGCACTCTGGATGAGGATTTGTGAGGCCCAGCTCATCCCGTCCCCCTACCCCACCTCTGTCCACTCCTGTGTGACCCAGTCTCAGGGTTCCCATCTGTGAAATGAAGAGGTTCCTTCTAGCTCCAGCGCCAAGAGTCTGACTCTGAGTTCCCTGCTCTCTAGGTTGCAGTGGGGCTGGGATCTGGAGACCCTTGAGGAAATGCCATGCCTCATGGGACAGGAATGAGGCTGTCATTACTGACAGCATCTTGAGGGTCATTAAATGTGGGCAGTGGAAAGAGACCATCCGGAGGTGATCCCACTTCCCGTCCTGGTTGACCAAAGAAACTCTCCTCCCACCTCCCACCCATTGCGAACATAGGGCAGCAGGGCTACGGACCCTCAGGCTGACCAGAGAACCACAGCAGAGCCCACTCCTGGGCCTAGTGTCTGACTCCCCCAGTCCAGATAAGGGCTGAGTCTCCTTCCTCGCCGTCAAGAGAGTCTTGAGATTTGGAGCGTGCCCAGAAAAGTGCCCTCCCAACACAAATTCACTGTCAGGGTGGAAGAACAGAAAGAGCCCCAAGACACGCTCTGGAGTGGCAGTGCACGGCACAAACGCTTCGGTTACAATGCTGAAAGCCCTGCTTCAGGGGCCTGGGGGTTCCTCTCGTAAAAACCAGCCCTGGACAGCAGAGCAGACAGAGGATCAGGATCGGCACCTCCCTTCCTGCCCTAAGTACGGTCTAAAAAAGTTTATTCCAATATTACCTTCACCTCCTTCCCACCCTCCTGCTCTACACATACGCTCTCTCTGTCTCTCTCTCTTTCTCTCTAAATAGGTCACAAGGGCAACACACCCTCAAATCCTTGGAAAATTAGCAAACCTTCCTGTAGGTAAATGCAGTGTTCACAGCTCCTGCACCAGTATTTGCAGGGAAGCGGAGACACACACAGACACAGGCACACCTGTTGAAAATGCACCTGCCCACCTCCCCATGTACACACGCATAGATGTACGGTGCCCGTACACATACACAGCTACACAATCCCTTCACAGTAACACGCCCATATCCAAGTACACTCTCACAGATGTACAACAAGTCACCACCTCCAAATGTGTACATGCCCACGCTGACCCTGAATGCATCTTCTCTGATCCCCAGCCCCCTACCCCTCCCCACAGTGGGCTTGTTTGGACCACCAAGGTTCAAGGGGAATCAACGTGACTTTTCTCCATCTTCTAGCCTCTCTACAGCCTCTCTCTGCCAGGTTCATGGAGAGGAAAGCAATGCTTTCCATATGCCCCTACTCCTCCATGAAGGCCCCCACCCAACCTGTGCCAAGCCCATGCAGGAGCAGTGAGGAGACAGTGGCTGGCAGAGCACTGGGAGCTCCAGCTGGTGACTGGGATGAGCAGGGCGCCACCTGCCTCAGTGTGCACTGACATTTCCTGGACAGTAGGCAGAGGCTCTGGGAAATGAGCACGGAGAACCAAGCATGCAGTCATGTCTGCTTTGGCTGTACCCAGCCCACATGAGCTTGCAATCTTCCTCTCTCCTGCAGGCCTCCTCACTTGGGGTACCAAGCTATACAGGGAGCCTGAGCCCACATACAGAACGTCTAGCCCATAGAGATCAAGGAGAGGTCAGTTTGGAGCTTGTAAATGGCTTGCTAAGCCAGTTAGACCATCACTAATGACTCAGGTCATGGTAGGCCTATGAAGCTGAGAGATGTCACCCTGCTCTCAAGCGGCACACAGTCCAGAGGGAGAGAGAGACAGACACAAAAGAGGTGATGAAGAGACAAGGTGCTCAGTGTGGTGTGAGTTATACACGGGGAGGGTAGAGGAGGGATACTTAGCCCAACCTGGGAGAGGGAGTTATGCCAGGAAGGCTTCCTGGAAGAGGTGATACCATGTGAAGAATGAGTAAGAATTAGGCAAAGAATGCTCTAGGTGAGGCCCTGGGGCCAGAAGCAGCCCAGGGTATGCAGAAATCACAGGCAGGTTGCTGGTGTTCTAAAGACCTACGGCTTTGGTGACAACAGAACCCCTTTGAACCCCTAGAGTCAGGCCCTCAGGGCCTTGAGGGCCTCAAATGCCATGCTGAATTGTTTGGACTCATGGAAGTTCTGAGCAGCGAGTGGTCGGCTGCAGCATGGAGAACAGCTAGGGGGAAGCAGGGCGGTACTGCCGTGTGGATCCAGGTTGGGAGCTCCAGGCCTGCAGTGGGGTGATGCAGGGCGATGCCGAGCAGGGGGTCCACAGATCCATCTAGAGGAAATCAGACCAGCAGCACGTAGCAATGGGTTATCTCTGCAAGTATGGGAGACAGCCTGCTGGGCCAAGGGTGCCCCCCTGGTTTCTGAGATGGGTGGCAGGGAGGATAATGAACCAGTCAAGTCTCCGCCCTCCTCAGTGAGCCAGAGGGAGCCTCACACTATCACTGGGCACAGGCACACGTTTCAGGGGAGCACAGGCCATCAGAACAACAAGTACCAAGAGATCCCTCAATCTGAGCCTGCCATTTAACAAATGAGTAAACTGAGGATTAGAGTGAGGAATTCCCCAGTCCCAGGCCACACAAGGGGTCTGGAGGCAGAACCTGGGCCTTTTGTGACCCCTGACTGCCCCGAGCCGCACTCCACTCACAGTTAGCCCTTTTTTTGTTCTTTCCTCCCCCTCGTTCTCCCTCACGTCTCGCTGGCCCGGCCCAGATCCCCTTCATGTGACCCTGACACCAAAGAAGCTGAAGACCGGCATTGGCAGCACGGTCATCCTCTCCTGTGCCCTGACGGGCTCCCCGGAGTTCACCATCCGCTGGTATCGCAACACAGAGCTGGTGCTGCCCGACGAGGCCATCTCCATCCGCGGGCTCAGCAACGAGACGCTGCTCATCACCTCGGCCCAGAAGAGCCATTCCGGCGCCTACCAGTGCTTCGCCACCCGCAAGGCCCAGACCGCCCAGGACTTCGCCATCATTGCACTCGAGGGTGAGCTGGGGCCCCAGGACATGGTAGGGCAGGTTAGGGCTGCCGAGCTCATGCCCTCCCTCCTGCTGAGGTGGGAACAATGCCAGGAGGCGTTAAACCAGTGCTTACTACACACCAGGCCCATGCACCATCTCACCCTAAGGGCCCTGTGTGGAGGTCCTTTTTTATATTTAAATCTTTTTTATCTTTTTTTCTCTTTTGAGGCAGTGTCCCACTCTGTCTCTCAGACTGGAGAACAGTGGTGCGATCACAGCCTACTGCAGCCTCAATCTCCCTGGCTCAAACAATCCTCCCACCTCAGCCTCCCAAGTAGCTGGGACTGTGGGCAGGGACCACCTTGCACCACGCTAATGTCCAAGGATAATTTTTCACCTGGATAATTTTTTATATATTTATTTTTATTATTTTTTTTATTATTGGTTTTTTTTTTGTAGAGACAGAGTCTCACTATGTTACTCAGGCTGGTCTTGAACTGGGGGTGAAGTGATCCTCCCACCCGGGCTGAGGCCTTTTTTTTTTTTTTAATGATGTTACCCATTTTGCTCTTGAGGAAAATGCGGCTTTGGTCACTTGCCCGAGGTGACACAGCTCTGCCCAAGGGACAGAGCAGAGATTTGAGTTCAGGTCCCTTAACCATCATACTATACTGTCTCTGCCCTCAGAAATTACTAGAATTTCAGTATTAGAGGAGTCTTCAGAGGCTGGAAGAGTGCCAGTAACCTCTGGACTTGCAATTCCTCTCCCTGCCTGAGACCTCTTCAAGGCAGGCTCTGTGTCTCACCAACATCCTGGGTTTTACCTGTTTGTTTCTCTCTCTCCTCCTTTAAAGCTGCCACCACCCAGGGTTCCTTACATAGCACATCTGTGTATGGTTATTCAGGTTGTTCACTGCACATGTTGCCCAGCCAAGAGGGTGGGTGAGGACTGAAATCCAGCCTGCACCTCATTTTCCAAGCCATGAGCCCTGGCACTGGGCTCTGTCCACACAGAGGAGGCACCACTTCCTCATTTGTACAAAGGTGCGGTGGGGGCTGGCAGAAACCCTGTCCTTACAAACAAGGTTAATGGTTCCCCACCTCCTCCTTCATTGCCACCAAAACAAACACAACACAATTCTGTTCCTTCCAGGGGCTTGTCGTAACAAAGATGCCAGCCAAACCCAAGCAAGCCCCACAGGTTTGGGATCCTCCCCAGGTGTCCCCGTCACGGCCTGTGGGTCCACACTCCTTGAAGGTGTGAGGCACCCAGGAACCTAAGCCCTTACTCCTCACCCCGACCACACAAACATTTGTCTTCCTTTTTGTTTCTTGTTTCTGTTTCTTAGAGACGGGGTCTCATTGCTCTGTTGCCCAGGCTGGAGTGCAGTGATGAAATCATAGCTCACTGTGGCCTCAAACTCCTGAGCTCAAGCAATCCTCCCGGCCTCAGCTCCTGAGTACCTGGGACTACAGGCATGTGCCACCACACCTGGCTGTTTTATTTTACAATTTTTCTAGAGACATGGTCTCCCTACATTGCCCAGACTGGTCTCAAACTCCTGGGTTCAAGCAATCCTCCCATCTCAACCTCCCAGAGTGCTGAGATTACAGGCATAAGCAACCGTGCCTGGCCTACTTTTAAAGTACTTAATGCCTATTTTAATCCTTTTCAACGATCCTGTGCGGAAGGATGGCCAGGGTTAATAATTACATCCCCGTGTTCCACGTGAGGAAGCCAGGCCACAGAGGTTAATTGTCTTGTCCAGGGTTATTCTGTTAGCCAAGACTTAAGCCCCGGCCAAGACTCCTCACTGCCACTGCCTCTGTGCACTTTCAGCCTCAGACTTAAGGCCTTGTGCTAACAGGCCTGCAGCACCACCACCCCCTCCGGAGGTCCCACGCAGAGGGAACTGGAATCAGACTCCACAGGGCCAGACGGTTCCATAGGTAGTTCTAAGCAGTTAACTTCTGAGCTTGTGTCTTTATTAATAGTGGAAGAGTTGAGAGGAACCAGCATTTATTAAGAAATTACAAAGCGCTGTGTGAAGCATCTGAAATGCATTAATTCATTTTATCCTCAGAATATCCATGAGGTGGGTATAAACATGATTGCTGTTATCCCCATCCTCCCTCCATAAGAGACAAAGACTCAGAGAGGTTAAGCCACTTGCCCAAAAACCCAGAGCTAATAAGTGATTGAGGGAGGATGCAAACCCTACAGCCTGAATCCACGTACAGCAGTAACTGGCACCACTTGGGGCTGTGGATAGCAGAATTGATGTACACAAAAGTTCTTTTTTGCTCTTACGGCTGCTTTTTGCCTCCTCCCCTGCTGAGGTGGGGTGGCTGGGGGGACAATCTCTCCGTGGCTTGGTGACCCTGAAGGGGGCTCCTCACTCCTGCAGACGGCACGCCCCGCATCGTCTCATCCTTCAGCGAGAAGGTGGTCAATCCCGGGGAGCAGTTCTCACTGATGTGTGCGGCCAAGGGCGCCCCACCCCCCACAGTCACCTGGGCCCTCGACGACGAGCCCATTGTGCGGGATGGCAGCCACCGCACCAACCAGTACACCATGTCGGACGGCACCACCATCAGCCACATGAACGTCACAGGCCCCCAGATCCGCGACGGGGGCGTGTACCGGTGCACCGCGCGGAACTCGGTGGGCAGTGCTGAATATCAGGCGCGAATAAACGTAAGAGGTGCCTGTCTACATTTAAATATCAGAATAGGTTTTTGAGTTCCTTTGCCATCTCTGTGGTTACCATTATTCTTGTGCTGATTAGTACTTATTATTAATCGTCATTTTGATTTTAGTAGAGGTCTCTCTCCCCTCCCTCGTCCCCTTTCCCTGCCCTCCTCAAGCGCCATCATCCATTCTTGTGTGCGTGTGTGTGTCTGGTACTGTTCACCCTCATTCACCTCCCCATTCCCCCTCCTCCTTCCCCCTCTCCAGAAATCCAACCTGCCCAGCCCCTCCTCCTACCCTCTAGCCCATTCCTCCCCACCAAATCTCTCTGGGGCCTAAGTATACTAAGCACCTGCTGATATCTGCCAGCCCCACCAGGGCCTCGTAAGGGCAAGACAGGGCAGGGGCTGGGGACCAGGTTTGGCGTTTAACATGGGTGCCCACCCAAGCTGTGCTCCCTGTGTCTTCCCACTGAGCCAGCCCCCCAGATGCTCCAGGAGGTGTGAGCAACCAGGAGCCAGGGCATCATCTTCTCCTGCAAGGCTCACACCATCAAGAGTAAGAGGCTGAGCCTGGCTGGGGGTGTCCCAAAGCAGGCAGCCTCCAAGAGTGGGGAAAGGAGCCCTCAGGGGCATCATCCCCACATCTCAGTTCTCCAAGTCACTGTGGTGAGAACACAGTCTCTTCTGAAGCTCTTTGTAGCCCCGTGGGGTCTGATTGGTCTTCATCTGACCCTACTGCTGACCCCTGACCCCAGGGCAGAGGAGCAGGGGGACAGCAGGAAGGGAAGGGGCACTGATCCAGGGGCACTCCTGGTTGCCACAGCGGTAGGAAAAGGAGCAAAGATGGAGTTTCATGTTAAGTTTGCCTGTGCGAGGCCTTGGACCCCCCACAGAAGTACGGATTTCCCATCTGGCCACCCTCCTGATCTCTCCTCTGAATTGCAAGGGGGACAGAGATGTGGGGCCCTGGAAGATTTCCCAGTGGGGCCCCTCCTGTTCTAGATGGGGACCTGAAGCCCAGAGTGCACCCTGTACCCTGTGGAGCACTGTCTTGCTTGGTAGCCTCTGAACTCCCATTCCAACCCCTAGATTGCCATCTGCCCAGCAGGCCCAGCCCAGGACACTGTCTCTCCCCGGCCGCACTATCAGCACCCCTTTCACAGCTCCTTCCCAGGGGCCTACAATACACATTTACTTGTTGACCGAAAGTCATCAGCTCACCTGGCGAGACCTTCCTGCTGTCTTTAAGTAGTTAACTTAAATTCCTTTTGGGTATGAGATCAAAAATAAGCAAGTAGAACGGAAACAACAAAATCTCTACCTTTCCACTTTCATCCCAAAATCTTAATCTCCCCATAACTGAGTAACTTGCCCTCCCAAATCCCAGTCACTCCTTGGTGGGGCTGCAGCTTGGTCCTATCCCTGTCTCACTAGGGGAATGGCTCTTGGTCCAGGCGTGTATATACTGTGTCTGTTTGCAACTCTTTGAAGCTAGTAACAGTGAGTGCTGGAGAGACTGTGAGCACCCCCCCAATTCCAGCCCCTGTCTGTAGCTTTGTAAAAAGGCATCCCTGTGCCCCCACCAAATGTCCGCCCCCTGAAAGTCTCAGGGGCCGAGTGCCTGAGAAGAGCAACGCAGGGTGGTGCCCGGCTGTCCCTGGCTGACGGCAGCACATGCCCCTCTCCTCCTCCTCCTCCTCCCTCCTGACTCCTGCCCAGGCCCCCCCAGCATCCGGGCCATGCGGAACATCACAGCAGTCGCCGGGCGGGACACCCTTATCAACTGCAGGGTCATCGGCTATCCCTACTACTCCATCAAGTGGTACAAGGATGCCCTGCTGCTGCCGGACAACCACCGCCAGGTGGTGTTTGAGAACGGGACCCTCAAGCTGACTGACGTGCAGAAAGGCATGGACGAGGGGGAGTACCTGTGCAGCGTCCTCATCCAGCCCCAGCTCTCCATTAGCCAGAGCGTTCACGTGGCTGTCAAAGGTAGGCCTCCCTCACCAGCCAGGGCCCCTGCCCGCCTGACCACCCAGGATGCACGGGCCCCTCCCCAGGTGGGACTCAGACAACAATAGACAATCCTGAGCAAGAGAGGCCCCAGCTTGGCATTCAGAAAAAAGGGAGCAGGGCAGAAGACTGTGGGTGGACACAGGCCATGAGATCCCTCTACATCTGGGTTCCTCCTCGGGCTGCAGAACAAGACAGTACGCACCCCAGGTGCATGAGCAGGTCAGTTACAGACAGAGGAGGCAGGCCGCCTTCCGGGAGAGAGGCCAGGCCAGAGATGGGCTGCATGGGGCCTCTGCCCCCAGGAGCTCAGCGGGCCCACACAAGAGACCAGCAACAGGAGGCCAGGGTTGAGAGAGCACGCTTGGAGCCCGACTCCCTGTGGGATACACAGTACACAGGCTGCTCCTACAGGACTGGGAACACCCTTCCACCTTCTAGTACTGCTTCAGGCCTGGAAAGTACTGGGTGGTGCTTAAAAGCCTCCTCCCTCAGGCCAGGCACAGTAGCTCACGCTTGTAATCCCAGCGCTTTGGGAGGCCGAGGCGGGCGGATCACGAGGTCAGGAGTTTGAGACCAGCCTGGCCAAGATGGTGAAACCCTGTCTCTACTAAAAATTCAAAAAATAGCCAGGCGTGGTGGCAGATGCCTGTAATCCCAGCTACCTAGGAGGCTGAGGCAGGATAATCGCTTGAACCTGGGAGGTGGAGGTTGCAGTGAGCCGAGAGTGAGCCATTACACTCCAGCCTGGGCAACAAGAATGAAACTCTGTGTCAAAAAAAAAGCTTCCTCCCTCCTGGGCCCTTGACACCCACCTGGGTGAGGTCTGCATTTCATGCCTGGTACTGGGTAGCCACTCACTAAGTCTGTGGATCAAATGAATGAGTGAATATAAACGAGCAAATACATGAGCATGTGAGTCAATGATGATGTCTCCTTGGTTCTGGGGCTGTGAAGGTCTTCGAAGCCCCCAAATATATTCTTTGGGACTGACAGACCTGGAGACTGTCTGGATGGTGTGTGAGAGGAGGGTGGCCTGGTTGCTCTGGGGCCAGGCTGGGGAGGTGGATACCCCAGGCTTGACTAAGGAGAAGCCAGTGAAAACCAGGCTGCAGGGCTTGGGTACCGAGTCAGCCATGGCTATGATGGCTGAAGAGCTTATGTCTCTTTGTGAAGAGCCAGGGTGGGCTCAGGCCTGGGGAGGATACGCGGACAGGTTGTCCTCCGCAGCCTGAGGTTCCAGAAGCATGAAGACCTCAGCCTGGGGCTCTGCCTGGGAGGAAGGGAGGTCTGGGGATCTCCAGTCACCATCCTGGGCTATCGCAGCAGGCTGTGATGGTTATAATGATCCGCCACTGTCACTGCAGCAGGCGCACTGTGCACCCCTCACAGTGCTCCATGCTCCACGTGCACTGCTGTCTTCAACCCCACGGCTGCCCACTCAGCTAAGGCAGGCAACATTTCCTCCCCAGTTTTGGGGGCAGAAAGTGGAGGCATAGAAAAGTTAAGTAAGGCCGGGCGTGGTGGCTCACGCCTGTAATCCCAACACTCTGGGAGGCCGAGGTGGGTGGATCACCCGAGGTCAGGAGTTTGAGTCCAGCCTGACCAATATGGAGAAACCCCGTTTCTACTAAAAATACAAAATTAGCAGAGTGTGGTGGCACATGCCTGTAATACCAGCTACTTGGGAGGCAGAGGCAGGAGAATCACTTGAACCTGGGAGGCAGAGGTTGCAGTGAGCTTAGATCGTGCCATTGCACTCCAGCCTGGGCAACAAGAGTGAAACTCCATCTAAAAAAAAAAAAAAGAAAGAAAAGTTAAGTAAATTGCCATCTGGTGTGAGAATCTTTCCCAGGTCTGCATAACTCCAGAACCTGGGCTCCAACCGAGAATGGCCGTGAGCCAGGGAAAGGACAGGCTCGAGGGAGGACTGTTTGCTCCATGCCCTGCCTTAGGAATAAAGACATAGAGCTTCTGGGACTGCCAGGGAGGGTGTGGAAGAGACAAGAGTCCTTGAGAACTCTAAGGGCCCTGTCACCAGGGGGCTTCCTTCTCCTGAACATCTGTGTCACCCCAGGGCAGTGGGGAGGGGAAGCTGGGGAGAACCCCCTCTGTATCCCCAAGGGAAGAGAGAGAGGGATAGCGTTGACCAGGGGAGGAAAGCTAGCAGGAGGCCCATGGAAGGAAGAAAAAGAGAAGAGGGGTCCAGGCCTGGTAAGGGGCCCTGGCAGCGGGGGAGGGCCCTGGGGACGCCCTGACTACTGCTTTGCCCAAGACTGGAAGCGACATGGAACACACTGTCGGCAGCAAGAGGGACGCATGGGAAGAGGAAGCGTTTGTGGGGGACCCTCGAGCATGTGATAACACTGGGCATCTGGTGGAAGGGCCTGGTGGCCACCGGAAGGACTGAACAGTGGCAGTGGAAGGCTGGGTGGGGACTTCTCCCCGAGCTCCTGCCATCAGTGCACAGGAGCCGAGTCACACGCCTCTCGTGTGCCCAACACCCGTCACAGTGCCAGACAGTGTGTGCTTTGAACTGAAACTGAGACATTAGGCTGAGTTGGAGTGACTTACTAGGAAACCTCACTTTGAGCCCAGGAAAGAAAGTGGGCTCTCTTTTGTTGTTGTTGTTGTTGTTTCTTTCTTTTTTTCTTTTTTTTTTGAAACTGAGTCTTGCTCTGTCACCCAGATTGCAGTGCAGTGGCGTGATCTCGGCTCACTACAACCTCCTCCTCCCAGGTTCAAGCAATTCTCCTGTGTCAGGCTCCTGAGTAGCTGGGACTACAGGCCCACGCCACCACACCCAGCTAATTTTTGTATTTTTAATAGAGATGGGGTTTCCCCATATTGGTCAGGCTGGTCTCGGACTCCTGACTTCAGATGATCCACCCACCTTGGCCTCCCAAAGTGCTGGGATTACAGGCGTGAGCCGCTGCTCCCAGCTAAAAGTGGACTCTCAAAGTCTACTTTGAAGACTTACTAGGAAACCTCACTGTGGCCATCTGAGGCCTGGGAGGAGAGAGGAGACCCTCACAGCCAAACACCCGTTTCCCTGCTGTTGCACGGGAGCCATGTGGAAGGGCATCCTGGCCACTTTCTCTGCCCAGCCCAGGGGCCTTGCCATGCCACCAGGGACCTCACATCCCCCAGACCACATCACCCCTCCCCGACATCCGGGACAAATCATCTTGGTGGCTGTGTACACAGCTCAGCCTCCCTCCTTTAAGCAGCATCACGGGGCCGGGCCGCCTGTATCCATTTCCCCTACAAGCAGTGGACCGAGAGTTTACAGTGTAAACATCACATATTAAAACATCTAACCTTTGCTTCGCTCCCTTCACCCGCCCTCACTGGCGAGCATTTGGTCGGGTTTGTTGGCTTAAAAAAAAATAATAACAGGGCTGCAGCGGGCCTCAGAGGACTCGGAACATCCTGAAAGCTGCTTCTGCTCATCAATTATTCAGCCCTATTCAGGGAGTGATCAGTCCTAATGAATTGAATCTGATGCATTCCGTCTCAGCGACTCGCTGGGCCTGTTGTGATGGTGCTGAGCGACAGTGTCTCTGCAGCCCAGGGAGAGGGAGGGAAGGCGGGGGCGGGAGGGGTGTGTGTGTGTGTGTGTGTGTGTGTGTGTGTGTGAGCCTAGAGGACAGAGTCCACGCCCTGGCTACGTGTGAATCCCCAGCACCCAGCATAAGCTGTGCATAGCAGGCATATGTGTATGTGTGTGTGTACACACACTTGTATGCACACCTTCCCCCTTCCCCACCCTCAGGGTCTGAAAAATCCCAGAAATCCAGCCCTGAGAGGGGCGTAGTCACCTGTTTTCTCTCTAGACCAAGAAGTAGCATTGGTGTGAGGGGCTCTGGGACATGTCCCCACCACTCCAAAAGCTCGGGCCCCCTCATCCCCATTCTTTCCCTGACTCCCTCTCCCACCTCATTAGAATGCACTTTTGCAGAAGAACCATCAGAGCTGATTATGATCACACTGCTTGATTAGCGGATGCGCTGTTCCAAGAACTACCCGAGGAGGGAGGTGGAGGAGGTGCCCGTGGGCATGGCAGGGGCCCTGACTTGCAGGGGGAGAAGGGTATGGGCCTGGGGGCAGCTCTCCAGACCCCACTGCTGCTGCCCGACTAGGAAGTGCATCCCACCCAAGGTTCAGAGCAGAGAGCTAGAAAGTAGAAAAGGGCGAGTGGGGGGCAGGGACAGGGGGGACAGAGCACCAGAAATGTGAGATAAAATTGGAAGTCTCCCACCCCAGCTCTCCGTGAGGCCAAGGGTCAGTGGGCAGGGTGGGGCTGAAACCCAGGTTGCTCCATGAGCTGGAAAAACAACTGCTGACTCCATTCCTTCTGGGACTGCTTGCCTTCTAACGACTTTTTCAAACACTAAGCTAAGAACAGCAGCACATGCTCAACACGCATGCATATGTGTGCAGAGACCTGTGTGTGAGCACTCGTGCGTGTGCACCCTGGTACGTACTGCATGCACGTGCAGCAAATTAGCACATTAGCCCATTCACACGTGAGCGCACACACACATACATGCACGCCAGCAGTTACACATACACAAGTGTGTTGACCACCAGGGCCCTCCCGTAAGGCAACATTCCTGAGCCCAAAAGGTGGTTGCAGGTGGTACCATATGAAATATTGCCCAAGGGAGCCTGCTGTGGCCCAGCAAAGTGGGAGGAGCAGGGAGGAGGGAGGGTGGAGGGTGCTTTCGGGGCTGTGTGTGCCTTGACATATGTGACACTGGCTGGCAGAGGAGAGCCAGGCCGCAGGGGAGGCGGGTATTTGTCTCTGGTCATCCGGAGAGATCCTTGGCAGGATGCTAAGAGGAGGGCATGCAGACCAAACCTAGATGTGGTGACTTTAGGGCCCCCTGTAGCTGAAAAATAATGTAGCACAAAAGCATCTCTGGGCCTGCAGGCTGAATGTTTAATTAACTAGGAAGGCAGGGCTACCACTGGGG